CTCTCTCTCTCTCTCTCTCTCTCCTCTGTTTCTATCTCTATTTCCCGTTCTCTGGCCATTCTCCCCTAACCCCCTGTTTTTATTTCTCTCAACCCCTCCCTGTCGTGCTACTCGGCCTGCTTAAGGGTCTGACCTACCCCTCCCCTCCTCCCTCCCACCGCGCTCTTCTTGCCCTGGGTTGCGTTGTTATTTCGGCCTGTGTGGGGATGGTGTGCAGGATTAAAAATTAACTGTATAATGCATATGTGAGTTGCCGTCACGGCGGCCCCGCGACCTGCCCCGCCCTCCAACCCTGCCGCTCCCCGCGGATTCGGACGGCCGCACGGGTGGTAATGTTCACGGGCAGGAGAGGGCGAAAGGGTAGGATAGGGCGGAGAGCGGGAAAGGTGAGGGCAGAGCGGGGGTGAGGGCAGCACAGGAAGACGCCTGGTCAGCTCAAGCAGCAACGACCCCCTCCCCCATTCCATCCCCGGCCCAGATAAATAGTATTGACCAAATGACCACGAGGGTGGCGACCGGCGCGTGCCAGCCGAGGCGTTTCAGCCGAGGCGTGCCAGCGCCAGCCGGGCCGGGGATGAACAACACTTCGGGACGCTAAAGACACAGCCGCTCGTCACATGAGACTCTGGGACACGAACACAAAACCGCTCAAATGACTTTTTTACAGATTTTGAGATACGGATACACTGGAAATGCAAGTGTGTGAATGTCGCTCACCTGCAGGTGAGCGACATTCCATTCGTACACTTAGGGGGGTAAAGGTGTGAAAAAATTCACACGTTTACCCCCTCAAGTGTACGAAAGAAATGTCGCTCACCTGCAGGTGAGCGACATTCACACACTTGCATTTCCAGTGTATCAAAATGGTCACTGAAAAATCTTTCGAATGATACCTATGTCTCAGAATGTGTAAAAAAGCAGTCATTTAAGCGGTTTTGTTTCCGTGTCCCAGAGGTGAGCGGTTTTGTTTTCAGTCGGCCGAGATAAGCGGCGTATGAAATGTAATGTTCTAGACAAGGAATATCATTGCGTGCCTCTTCAGACCTACTCCTTCCATATTCTCGTTTCTTTTGTAGAATCAGACTATACCCCCAACATGTTTATTTTAAAATTACGACTAAGAAGGCTGGATTTCTCGCTGATTTCTCGTTTATTTGCTACTCTTTTACTTTGCTAAAGCAACAAAGCAGGTCTATGTAACCGATGTGGTATCTGTCTATCTGCTTGTCAGACGTCTGTGCAAGTAGCAGAGAAGAAGTTGAGCTATAGAGATCGACCCTCCCTACGTACAAGTGGCTATCTTTTTGAGCGTGGCAGACAAAAGGCTATCTTTTTCGGCGTGGCAGACAAAAGGCTATCTTTTTGAGCTGGGCAGACAAACGGCTAACTGCTTTTCCCACCTTGCGACTTTGGGTTCCAATATCTCACAGTAGAGGTTATGTAACACTATGAGCGTTTAACCAATTATTCTGTGCGTTTGTCAAAGCAGGAAATTTCTTACTCGATAATTTTATGTCTCTTGCTTCGGGAGTTATTCAATATAAACGTGGACAACCCTAACCTCCAAGAAAAGCAGATAGCCGTTTGTCTGCCAAGCTCAAAAAGATAGCCGTTTGTCTGCCACGCTCAAAAAGTTAGCCGTTTGTCTGCCACGCTCAAAAAGATAGCCGCTTGTGCGTAGGGAGGGTCGCAGATATGTTGTTCCCTCAGAACTATCAAATTACAAACATCTATTTCTTTGGGTGTTTCAGCCTGCCTTTCTGCTTTGAGAGAACAATAAATCAGGCTTATGCAATGGAATCTGGTCGGTCTGTCGTCGCCGTCTATCTTTAGAACAGCAAAGAGTTGAGCTAAGCGACAGCACTAGTCAGCAGCAGTACAAGGGAGGCAGCCTTCTGGGCGACACATACCGATCTCTACTCACAAGGGAAGGTTTTATTCCGGTGATACAGTCAAATCTCAATGGCGCTTTAAAGTGTAGTTGTTATCATCCCTAGATAAGGTTTCGCACTGGTTTTAGCTGCCCGTAGGGATTTAAAAGGCCATTTTACGCGAATTCAATCAAAAACTCACTAAATTTGTTGCGTTATTGCCATCTTTGCTTGCACATATGTCGGGAACCGTTTGGGCTCCAACGCTCGCTACAACGCCCAGTGCCCACATTGCAATCCTTCCCTTGTCAGTTTGGCGGAAGCATGTTGCTTGTTATGTACAGCAGAGGCGTATAATAGTTTTCAGTCAGGAACGGTGTATCTGATCTGCCTGCGGCCCACTCAACACCCGCTGACAGGCATCCCGCGCGGCGCACCACTCTGACGCGTGAGTAAAAACAACACGTCGTGAAATAACACGAGCGACGTTTTGTCGCTGCTCTATTGGAGCGCCGCCAACGAGGCTCGTATCGTCGTGTTATGAACCCCATAGTGATGTGGTGCGTCTTGTTTCGCGTCGACGTGAGGAAATGGGTGGGGTGGGGGAGAGACAAGCTGCAGCAGGGCAGCTTCATCATGCAGTGTAACAAGGTGGGGAGAGCCGGGCAGACCCCCCTGCCGGTCCGACGCTTCATCACCGCAGGATTATGTTTTCATTTCACACTGGCCTCTCACGTTCTTCGCGGACCCGCCTCCGTAAACTAACCTAGTCAATTTACTTCTGCTGTTCGAACGAGGAACCCTCGCGCGCAGTGGCATCAGCTGTGCCTTCGAAAAACAAGGCCATGAATATTCCAAATCACAATACGAGTTCTTTGCATAATGTTTCAATCTGCCCGCATGCAGTGGCACAGCGTATACCCTCCTCCTCTTCTCAACCTCTCCGCTACCCGGTCTCATTTTTAAAGCCAGGGAGCAGAGCAACGCGAGATGCAAACATTTGCCTCCCCGCTGTTTTTTTATATTCCTTATTGTTTTCTTTCTGTTTTTGTTTTTCTGCATTTCTATGCCGCCTGCCTCTCTCGCTGCAGAACTACACCAGCCCACATACGTACCGCGTTGCCTTTCAGACCACAGCATTATGCAAAAGCGTACACACAATACGGAAAAAAATTACTTTCTGGTTCACTTAACATCGGAACAAAAATAACTGAAACAGTTGTATAATTGTGAGTCAGTTTGATGGCAGCACGCCTGAGGGCGCTGGCACTTTTTGCTGTTGTACAGGGGCAGTTTGACAATGAGGCCCTGAGGACCAGGGGGGGGGGGGTACATGGCGATTACTACTCCAAGGGTCGACGCCGAACTCCCTTCCACCCGATGCGTACGAGCCGACCTAACCATGTCAGCGATATATCGAACACACGAGCCGGATGTCAGCTCCGGTCGACCGGAAAAGGGATCCGGCCGGGGGAAAAGAAATAAAGGGACCGACGGACTCTCTGACTGACCAGCAGCAACACGGCTGTACACGTGTTGGGACCGACTTGTCTTTCGTCTCCACCACACTGATCGGTATGAATATGCATCGGGCATCTGTAAAACAAATTAAATTTATTAATAACTCGCCAAGCGACTTCACAAGGGGGTCTCGTCTTCCACCTCTTCCCATTTACCATTTCGCCTTCTCCCAATTTCTACTGCTGGGTCGCCGTTGTCCGTTGTCCTAAACGGGGGGGAGATGATGAGTGAAACGCAAAACATCTTTTACTTCCAGGAAAAGGTCCAAGGCTTAAGCACGGAGACGGGGTGGCAATGACAGAAATTCAGATCTACGGCATAATCCTCCGTGAAACACAAAGAAAGGCCGCAGCCCCCAAACCATTACACAGCGTATCTCTTTCTCCGCCCGCCCCACCCGCAACCTCCACCCCTCACAGCTTAATATCTGTAAGAGCGTAGCCTTGCTCAAGGCCGCGCAGCAAGAGTGTAACGTTTAAAAGAATCTCTCTCGCTCTCTCTCTCTCTCCTTCCCTCTATCTCTCCCCCTCCCTCTCTCTCTTACTCGCCCCCTCGCCTTTTCCTCCAACGCGACGCCTTCTGGGTTATTTTTAATGAGTGTGTGATTCGCAACGTGCCGTCCACGAAAGGCATTCAGAGAGGGGAGGGGCGCTTTTGTGCACTCAGAGAAAAGCAAAAATGATGAGAGCGAGAAGGAGGGGAGATGAAAACGAACAGTTTGAAGGAAGCATTATTCCGAGGAACAAAGGCGCTCCACTGTTGCTGACGCTTCCAGGAGCTACCGCGTCGCTTCAGCGCTCGGCTACGACATAACTCCGCGCCACCTTGCTAGAGGTCCGAGCGAACCGTGACTCTGAAGGATGGCTTCCTGCTAACCAGGCGGCTTCCCGGCGAGAACCAATGCCCTTTTCCCCCCATTCTAGGCACTCTCGACTGCTTCTGGCGAGACGGGGGACATGTCCTGCTGGCAGGGCGGCGACGACGAGGGACGGGAGGAGCAGAACACGACCGGCAGCGACTCGAGTGTCCGGGGAGGGTGGCGCCCCCACCCGC